CTTCAAGCATCACCACCCATTGCAGACGAAGACGTCGATTTGCCGCGAGAATCTAGAGTGACCTTTGCGTAGCTTGATTCTGGATACTGTAGCATATTTAACATATGTACAGCTTACAACGTATGTCCGCCTGAAATTGCCCTGCTAACTCTACTCATCTAACACCCCTATCCCTATTGTCCGGATCCGGGGAAAACTCGATGAATGATCTCGATGATAACTTATCTTATCTTTACCATTCGAACGGGGAGTAAGTAACAAAACATCCTTTTTTTATACCCTGAACAGGGTGCCTCAGTTTTTAAGATATCGTTTTGAAATTTTGCACACGTCATTTTCTATTCAAGAAGCTAGTCATTTGTCGGATCTGCTGATATCGGACCACTATAATATATAGCTGCCATACAAACTGAACGATCGGAATCAAGTTCTTATATGGAAAACGTTTACATTTAACAATGTATTTTCACAAAACTTGGCACAGATTATTTTTTAAATCAAAAATGTAATCCCTGAAGAAATTATTCAGATCGGCTAACTATATCATATAACTGCCATACAAACTGAATGATCGGAATCAAGTTCTTGTATGGAAAACTTTCACATTTGACAAAATATATTCACGAAATTTGGTATAGATTATTTTCTAAGACAACAATGTAATATCCGAAGAAATTGTTTAGATCGCTGTATATAGTATATAGCTGTCATATAAACCGAATAATCAGAATCAAATGCTTTCGTGGGAAACTTCCTCATTTGACAATATATCTTCTCGAAATTTGGTATGAGTTATTGTTCTTAGAAATAATGTAATATCGGAAGAAATTGTTCAGATCGCCTTACAATAGCATATACCTACCATACAAATCAAATGATCGGAATCAAGGGCTTGTATGGAAAACTTTCGCATTCGACGTGATATCTTCGCGAAATTTGGCATGAATGACTGCTTAGGATAATAATATAATCTCCGAAACAAATTTTTAAAATATATTATTATAAAATATAGCTTCCATACAAATTGGACACATAGTTACTAAGAGAAATGCACCTGTGAAAGGTATATTACCTTCGATGCAGAAATTAACTTTTTTCTTGTTTCTTATAAAATAGAAATAAATTGTTATGTAATGCATTTAAATACATTGTTTTGTTTTGTGTAAATTGTAAAGATATTTTTTTATG